CCAGCAGCCAGAAGCTAGGAGGTAGTGGTACACACCCTTAACCCCAAGACTCAGGATTAAGAGGTAGATGGATCTCTTATTAGTTCAAGGCCACACTGACTACACAAAATTGATCCAGTCCTAAAAGAAACAGTTCAGCAAAGGTGGTCTCAGCACCTGGGATCACACACCTTTAATCCCAGCATTAGGGAGGTATATAAAACAGGAGCAGGGTCTCAGTGCTGGCATTCAGTTTGAGAGTCAGTCTCTAGCCACATTGAGGAGAGCATAGCAGTCTGAGTGAATCTGAGAAGGAGTGAAGTCGGGAGCAGTCTGAGGAGTGCCCCTTTGGTCTGAGCTGAGGTAGAGGTACCAGATAGTGGCTGGCTGCTTTGCTTTTCTGATCTTCAGCTTGAAGCCCGAACCCCAGTATCTGTCTCTGGGTCTTTTATTTATCATGCTACACCCCACTCAACTCTGAAGGCATACATACCCTGCTAACCCAAAGGCCACTCCTTTCAGGGAAAGCAGACTGACTTCAGATCTTCTCTCCTTCTGCCCCTCCATTCACAGCCCCCTCAATCTCATCCCCAGCTCTGTAGCAGAACATCTGCTGCTGTCTCTCTTTCCTCTCTGACCCCGTCCCCAAGGCCTCGAAGACCTTCTCCAACCTCCATTCCCCAAGCTCATCCCAGTATCCCAACCTCCTACACCAGCAGGCATTCCCTAAATCTCAGGGCCTGAGGACATACCCCCTCAGACTCCTAGCATGACCCCATTCTTAAGTGTCAGTTACCAATATGCAGAAACACATTTTACCTGGTACTCTCAGTGGCTACAACTCTCAGGTCCAAAGAAAATTTCCCACTATGCAACACACAGCCATCATACTCTCCAAAAATGTAGAGAGAAAATAGAAACCAAGGAACAAAACACCCACCCAACAAAGACAAGTCCAAAAAACCAGCACCTAGAACTATAATCGTCCCATTCCCAGATGCCCAGAGGCCAGTATAAAAACAATAATAATAGTCTGGGCAGTATGACTCCATAGAACCCAGCTATCCTACTACAGCAGACCCAACTCCAACAAAGTGAAGCACAAGAAAGGAAGGAAGGAAGGAAGAAAGGAAGGAAGGAAGGGAGGGAGGGAGGGAGGGAGGGAGGGAGGGAGGGAGGGAGGGAGGGAGGGAGGGAGGAAGGGAGGGAGGGAGGAAGGAAGAAAACCCTAAAGCTGCCTGTATGAAGGGGGAATAAAGAAACCCAGGAAAACACGAACAGTGGAAGGAAATGAATATAACTATTTAAGACCTGAAAGTGGAAATTGAATCAATAAAGAAAATCCAAAATGAGGTAATTCTGGAAATGAAAAATTTAGGAATTCAAATAGGAACTACAGAGGCAAGCTTCACCAACAAAATACAAGAGCTAGAAGAGAGAATCTCAGGTGTTGAAGATATGACAGAAGAAATGAATATATTGGTCAAGAAAATGTTAAATCTAAAAAACTCCTGACACAAAACACTCAGGAAAACTAACACCAAATCTAAGAATAATGGTAATAGTGAAAGAAGAATCTCAGCTCAAAGGCCCCAAAAATATTTTCAACAAAATCATAGAAGAAAATTTTCCTAAAGGAGATTCTTATAAAGGTGTAAGAAGCATACAGAACACCAAATCGATTGGACCAGAAAAGGAAGTTCCCTTGGCACATAATTATCAAAACACTAAATATACATATCAAAGAAAGAATATTAAAAGCTGCAAGAAAAAAAGACCAAGTAACAAATAAAGGCAGACTTATCAGAATAATACCTGACTTCTCAATGCAGACACTAAAATCCAGAAGAGCCTGGACAGACATGTTGTAGGCTCTGAGAGACCACAGATGCCAGGCCAGACTACTATACCCAGCAAAATTTTCAATCACAACAGAAGGAGAAAATATTTCATGACAAATAGAGACCCACATCCAGACACTAGTGAGAGACATGAAGGGGTAGGCTCGGATGGGAGAAGTGGAGAAGGACTGGGAAGAGTAGAGGGAGGGGAAACCATAATCAGGATATATTGTATAAGAAAAAAATCTATTCTCAATAAAAGAAAAAATGGGGTTGGATGGCTAGAGAGATAGCTCAGTGGGTAACTGATTGCTGCAAGCATGAGGTCCTGATTAAGATTCTCAGAAACCATAGGAGAGCTGAGTATGGGAGCGCTGCATGTAAGCCCAGTGCTGGCCCAGAGACAGGAGGATCCCAGGGCATTCCTATGCAGCCAGTTTAGCCAAAAAGCAAGCTTGAAGTTCAGTGAGAGACTGTCTCCAAAAGGTGGGAAGGTGAGAAGTGATTGGGGGCCGGGGGAAGGGGACACATGTCAGTGCTAACTTCTGGCCTCTACACACTGACACAGACAAACACACACACACACACACACACACACACACACACACACACTCTTACCAAATGTAGTTGGGCCTCCATACCTACAGGTTCTGCATCCATCTATTCAACTAACTTTGAATAACAATTTGTTGGTAATAACACACATTAGTACTGAACACATGCAGGCATATTTTCATGTGTGTGTGAGTATGTGTATATGGTGTATGTATATGTGTATGTGGCTTCACATGTTTGAATGTGTACTCAAAGATCAGAGGAACTGTCAGCTGTCCTGCTCTATTACTGTCAACCTTTGAGACAGGGTCTCTTTCTGAATCTAGAGTTAGGCTAGTGGTCAGCGAGCCCCAGAACTTCTCCTGTCTCTACTTTGCACCCTACACACACACACACACACACACACACACACACACACAGCACACACACACACACACACACACACACACACAGCACTAGTGTTGCAGACACGCACATTGCCACACACAGTTTTCTGGTGATTTCAACCTGGTCTTTCTAACTTGAGCAGCAGTGCTCTTACCCATTGAACCATCTCTCCAGTCCCCAGATTTTTTTTCTTGTCACTCCGCAGATGATACAGTATAACTATTTATAAAGTATTAGGTGTATGGTGATGCAAATGGATTTCCATGGGCATGTATTAATGGAACTCACATGATGGTGTTGTGTGACACTTTCTGTGCATATGTGAGAGCAAACATGAGCCACTCCAGATAGGAAACCAATGACAAACCGAATAAAGGACACCACGAAAGTCCAACTTGGTGAAGCAATGAGATTTATTGGGGTTACTTAGAGGTACAGAAATGATTCAAAGACAGATGCATCACCAAAACCCACCCAATCATGGGTGAGAGCTCACAATAACCCCAAATCTGGAATTCACTGCAGGACTCGCATGCAGCTAGATGAGTTGGAAAGTGTCCCTTCCAAGTAGCTTAGCTGGTCTTTTGCCTCTCCCAGACAGCTTAGATCATCTGAAAGTGACTCGGCAGCTCTTAGTATTTATATATACTTGGTGGAGGGCGATAGTTTTATCTATTTAGTTTCAGGGACTTCCTGAAACTTTTGAGTTGTTTGTTTCCAGAGTTTAACTTGAATGGGCTTCTTCCCTGTGGTGTAATTTATCACCACGTCCTAAGGAGTTTCCCTCCAAGATAAAGTATTCCAACTTGGAAACTGCTACAGGACAAATGGCTTGGAGACAAGCCTTCTGAAGAATTATGTAATTCAGGTTAAATGAGGTCATTGATGTGTGCCTGACCACATGTAACTAGGGAGAAAGATATCTGGACATGGGTGGGTACAGAGGAAAGAAGGCAAGGACAAAACAAGATGGTGGCCATCGGAAAGTCAGAAGCAGAGGCCTCTGGGAAACCACATCTGCCAGCACCTTGACCTCGGACACTAGAACTGTGAGAGAAGAAATCTCTGCTGATCAAGCCATTTGGTCCACAGTCTTTTGATACAGCAGGTTAGCATTCAACTTGAGCATTCTGCACACTGCCTCAAATGCAGTGTATTCCAAACAGTAGGTAAGCTTTAGTTTAGATCTGGAAACCTAGACAGCTCAGTGGCCCTAGTGCTGAGGGAAAAGATGTTGATTTTAACAGTAGTTGTTTCATAAAATAAAATGAAAAAAATCAATCTTTTTAAACCTCAGATGGTCCAGGCTGGCCTCCAATATGCTATAAAGCTAAGGCCAGCTTTGAATTCTAGGTACTTCCACTTTACTTTCCAAGTGTTTAGATTACAGGCATGTACAAACCACACTTGGAAAAACAGCCATTTTGATATGATACCAATGATAATTAACAGTGTAATTTATGTCCTTCTAAATTTACTACTTGAGTTTTAAAAGAGCTTCTGGTAACCTTTCATTGAGGAAATGAAAGATTATCTTCTAACTAGGACTTTGCAAACAGTTTTTTTAAAATCAGAATAAAGTACAGCCATGCATATATTATTTGGTGTTGATCCGTCAAGTTAACTTTGAAATGATGGGAGGTATAAGGACATATGTGAAGAGAAGTTTCCTAGCACAGAGGATGGATGATGCTCCCTGCAAGGGTCTCTTAGACAAGCTCCATATTATCAATATGTTCCACAATGTTAAATTATCACTTATGTCTCATTAAACTCGGAACACAACCACAGATAAAGGGCCATGTCTTAGGTAAGTCACCTTAGTGGCTGCTGAGATGCCTCTGCCTCTGTGAGTGAAGGATGTGGCCCAGAGAAAAGGCCATACTGTTGAATGCTGTTTGGGCAAATCTGATTGCAGTTGTTATATGTCTTCTAGATAGACAACACGGAGGTTTGTTTTTTTAAACATTATTTAAAAATATTACGTCAAATTACAACCCATGACTGGGTTGCTACTGGGCCACCTTCTCTGGTCTATTGAATACTCGGCCTAGATAACAACTGCTGTCTAGTTTCTAGACAGTGCTGGCTCTCACTGAGGGAAATACAGATGCCTGTCTGTTTTGCTTTTTTTGTGTTATTTTCTCTCTTTTGAGACAAGGGTTCTCTGTAGCTTTGGAGGCTGTGCTGGAACCCGCTTTGTAGACCAGACTGTCCTTGAACTCACTGAGATCTGTCTGCCTCTGCCTCCTGAGTGCTGGGATTAAAGGCATGCACCACCACCACCACCACCACCACCTGGGTTTTATGTTATTTTCTCTGAAGAAATTGTGTGTTTCTCATTTTCATGAGGTATAAGCAGCCCCAAGTTTCTCAGAAATGCTGATTATTTGGGAGAAATTAATGCTTCTTCAAGCTCCTCAGTTATAATATCATGCTACTGAGAAAAGACTTCATTTTGAAGAAGCCCCTGCTTCATGGTAGAGAGGTACAAAACAATGACCAGAAAGCAGAGGAAGGACCGTGGTTCTCTAGCTTACTCACCTCCGCAAACAGACAAAATGCATACACGTATCCCTGTCTTCAGTTTCTCTACCAGAGGAAAGTCAGCGTTCTGAAGAGCATTTCTTACAAGGGGAGATTCCTACAGCTTGGTAAAGAGATCCTATGGGCACTGCTGCCCTTCATTAACTATGGTGGACGCAGAGCAGGTGCAGGGACAGGCGGGAGCATGGCCCTTCATCAGGATGGGTTTGTGTGAATGTGGGCTCTGTGCAGGTGACTTTTATTCAGGTACTCCCAGCTCTACCTAGTCCAAAGCACACCGTGAAGGAAGTCCCCATGTGAACAGCATCCAGGACCCTAACTCTGAATTGCAGCATGTCCACATGTAGCCTCTGTGCGCTTCCTGCGACCTGGGGAAAGTTGATATCAGTTGCTATCATGACAAATTCCTGCAACCTCTTGTATGATGCTGTGTGCATAACTGATGATTAATACATGCAAAAAAAAAAAAGGTGTCTTGTTAGTACAGCTTTGGACAGCTAAATACGGGACGGTGAAAACCCAGTGGGCACTGGGGTGGTTTTCAGCCATACGTTGTCATTTTACAACAGTTTCTGAAGTGCATACAAACCATGAAGAAGGTGGGATTTACGGAATTCTAGGAGAAAATTGACCAGTATATCAGATTGAATAAGATGTAAGCGGCTGGGAAAATGATCCTGGAGTATTTATCAATGGCGTGGGTGTTGATCCTCATGCTCACATAGCTGCCTCTCTGGCTTTTCCTCCCAGAGGCCAGGGTTAGCTGTACCATCATCCTGTCAGGCTTCTCTCCATTCTCAGGCATGTAGCCACTCAGGTCATTCACCTCGCCATCACTGTAGCTGCCATCCAGCATCACTGCTCGGGGCTGGGGCAGTCCGCAGGTGCAGGAGATCTGCAAACACACAGGGGTGCGTGAGCTGAGCACTGTCCCTCACACGCCTGAGAAGGCACTGTGCACGAAGGGCGTTACCCTCTAGCCTCTTTTAGTCTCAGTTTGGGGGAAAAGATAAGGAAAATGATGATGGTGGTCACTGAGCATCCCAAGACAGCTGCAAGCACAGCACTGTATCGGAGAGCTTACCAACAGCCTCCAGGTCGGGGCTGAAGCAGCACCATGATGCTGAGAACTGGGCCATGAACTAACATCTATGTGTTAACTTGTAGGAAAGAGCACACTGTTGTACAGAGACCAACAACACTAGCACTGGCTAGCCCTGTCCTCCATGAAGTCATAATCCCTGAGCTCATACCATGTCCCCTTTGGGGACAGTGGGGACAAACCCAGGGCCTTGCGCATGCTAGAGAAGGGTAGTACACTGAGCTACACCCGTTTTCATTTTTTGTTTGAGACAGTCTTGCTAAGTTACCCAGGCTGGCCTCCAACTTGTGACTCTCCTCCCGAGTAACTGGGTTACAGGTTAGTGACACCACACCTAGACTAAACCCTTCATAAAAAATGTTTACAGATGATGTATTTGGTTGGGACTGGAATAAAGCACTTTGGGAATAGTATATAGTGAGGTGTTGCTATAAGAGAAGGCTCTAAGTCATAGGCTGGAAGGAAAAGGAAGGGCAGGAGGAATGATAAAAAATGATGGGAGACACGAGGTCAATATGAGGGATGTTTCTTAGGATAGAGGACGGTTACCCCTGGAAGGGTCTTTTAAACCACCTCCATATTTGTTAATAGTATGTTCCACAGTGTTAAACTGTCATTAATTTCCCTCCCAGAATTCTCTCACTAAACTGATCACAGCCACAATTAAATGGACCATGTCTTAATTTGGTTTTAGTGGCTGCTGGGATGCACTTGCTGAATGAATGCCTTTGTTGAATGAAGGATGTAAATGTCAAATTTTCATGGCCATGGCTGGAAGTGAGCTGAGAAGAGGGTATCACAGCCTCGTTCTACCTGCCCACAGTCCCAACGGTAGCCCAGTCTATGTCACAGTAAAATCACCTTCTCCCTGAGCTTCCGTTCTTTCCGCTCCTGCACTGTGGTCAGGTAGTTGACGGCTGCGTACTCCAGCACTGAGAGGAACACGAACACGAAGCTGACCCAGAGGTAGATGTCCACGGCTTTGATGTAGGACACTCGGGGCATGGAGGCGTTCACGCCCGTGATGATGGTGGACATGGTCAGCACCGTGGTGATGCCTGCCATGAACCGTGAGAAATAAACACATGCTTGCTTTTGCCAAACACTGTCCCTTGTCCCTCCGTAACTCTGCCTTTTGTTCTGCTTTGGCTTGGATGACCAGACCAGTACCTGCTCCCTTCTGGTGAATACCCTCCTGTCTTTGAGAGCTAGTAATCTCTGCCCCTCCTCTCCGCCTCCCCTGTACACTGGCATATCCATTACAGCACCAATCACCTCCTCTCTGCAGAATGCCCTGGACACTTTGAAGGTATTTCCTTCCATTGATTCAGGAAAGGAGATACAGATATAAGCTATCACATGCTGAAGGAAGTCATGGCATTTATTTCAACACAGTGTCCTTAGTGTCATAAAAATTCTATAATCCTGGGCCTGTCTCTTCCGCTGACAGCCATCCCATACTGGACCTGTGTGTCCCTCCAGCAGGACTACCTTAAGCTCCTTGACATCAGTTTCACCAGGATTGTTTTATTTATAGGAGGCAGATATTGATATGTGAGCACACAGACACCCGGCACGGTAGCCGCTGGAGTAACAGCTAACTGCTGGAGAAATTGCCAAGGATTGCAAATTAGGCTCAGAACATTTGCCTGGAAAACATTAAATCACAGAGGACTGACATCATCCCAAGGGCCAGCTCCAAACCATTTCACTGAAGCCTGGTGGGTCACCGTGTCACTTGCAGCCTGAGCTGCCTGAGCTGCAGCGGTGGCTGTGACTAAGTGGGCTCAGTGTCTAAGATGAGGACATCTGATGGGGTGCTGAGACAGGAAGTGAGGGAGGGTATGAAAACTCAGGGATTCTGACTGAAGATATGAGGGGGCCGGAGTCTTTTCCATTTTAGTAATCCCCTCAAGGGTTCTATTGGAAACATTGTTACAGAATTCATTCTTACTACACACCTGCAGGGAAAGCACCCGAAGATGCGGGAGTAGGAGGTGGGGGGTGGGGGTGGGACACAGGACTGCCCAGGGCTACAGCAAGCTGCTCAGACAGACAGCCACAGGGGCCTGGACAGATTTCCATGTGGCACTTAGATTGTGTGGCGCTACTTGAATCTGTGCCTTGAAGCATTTCCAAGTCACGCTGTGAGGGAGATTACAGGGTCTGCTCGAGACGGGTGGAGGGAATGCCTTGGCTGTTCAGACACGTGCGATACACACCTGAGACGGTCCTTACCTAAGGGAACTCGGGCAGGCACAGCTCTGCGGTCGATCCAGAAGGACACCCAGGACAGCATGACCATCAGGGTGGCTGGGAAATAGGTTTGGAGCAAGAAGAAGAAGATGTGACGGCGCAAAGTGAAGTTGATGTACAGACGGTTGTACCAGCCTGGGGACACAGGAAGAAGGAAGGGATGAGGTTGTACCAGCCTGGGGACACAGGAAGAAGGAAGGGATGAGGTTGTACAGCCTGGGGACACAGGAAGAAGGAATGAGGTTGTACAGCCTGGGGACACAGGAAGAAGGAAGGAATGAGGTTGTACCAGCCTGGGGACACAGGAAGAAGGAGTCAGGTTGTACCAGCCTGGGGACACAGGAAGAAGGAGTCAGGTTGTACCAGCCTGGGGACACAGGAAGAAGGAATGAGGTTGTACCAGCCTGGGGACACAGGAAGAAGGAAGGGATGAGGTTGTACCAGCCTGGGGACACAGGAAGAAGGAGAGAGCTCGCAACATGGCTGCTTGGCTCCTTAGGGAAATAGTTTCATTTGTAGAATCCCAAGTGTCTTAGATCTCACACTGGAACCATAACTTTAACAGTGGCAGTGACGTGTGGTAACCCTCACCAGCTATGTGAACTGTAAGAAATCTCTGTCCCCTTCATAAACACAAAGAGAACCCCTTGAGAAGGTCATGTAAAGTCTTCTGTCCCAAAATAAGGTCCAAGGCCCATCAGCCTTACAGCCACGTGGGAGCTCCTTAGAAGTTCAGATATCTTCAGAAAGTTTAGGACTTTCAGAAGACGGAGACCTAAATGACTAAGCACCAGGGTGAGTGACGTAGCCTCTGAGTTGGACCAGCATGCTAAATCGGATATCAGCGCTCTCTAATGGCTCAGGATGTGCTTACAACGTGGAGGGCCAGCAAGAGAAACTGCAGAGCCTTCTGAGAGGTGAGTGATCAGACCAGAAGCAAGGACAGAGAATGTTAGTCCTTAGCTGTCTACCAGCACAGGCCAGCAGCTGGGGAAGTCTGCAGAGGACAGCCTCAGGCAATAGGAGGCGATGCAGCCAGTGCAGAACTTTGACTCATGCAGTCCCAGCCAGGCCCACATGATGACCAGGGGGCTGGGTGGCAGTGGTGCTCCCAGGGAGACAGAGAACAGCAGTCTGAACTTGTTTGTTGCTATTGAGGAGAGACTGATGAGCATTTCAGGGATGTGCTGCCAGCCTAACTAGGCAATCATCTCAAATAAACCTACTTACGTGGCTTCTCTTTGAGCTCTGACTAATGTTTTCCAGGGAACTATCTCTGATACATTGGTGGATCAAAAATTACCTTCAAGACAGGCAGTGGTGGCACATGCCTTTAATCCCAGCATTCAGGAGGCAGAAACAGGTGGATTTCTGTGAGTTACAGGCCAGCCTGGTTGGTAGAGCGAGTTCCAGGACAGGCTCCAAAGCTACACAGAGAAACCCTGTCTCAAAAAACAAACAAACTACCTTCAAAGCTAGTTGCTTTGGAGCATACCTATAACCCTAGCACTGGTGATACTGAGCCAGAGGCCTGGTCTGGATACATAGGATGAGTTCAGCAGCTGGGATGCATCGTGCATAATAAATTCAACAGCCTGGATAATAGTGTATAATGAGTTCACCAGCCTAGACACATAGTATATAATGAGTCCACAAGCCTGTTTACATAGTGTTCAGGGTAGCATGGACAATGGAGTGAGACCCTGTCTCAAAGGAAAACAAGTCCCCCTACCTGATGCATACCACCCACTAGACTTCATTCAGGACTCTGGTGTTCTGCTTCAAAGCTCTGTTCACTTGGTGTGACAACCAAAACACACGCTTTCCTAATAGAGCCTGGACCATCTGGTGAAGACAATCCCTCCCCGGCACTCACCGAGTGCTCCGAGCTCACCTGTACTGCTGTAGAAGGCTAGTTTTGTGGTGGTGTGGAACTCCTGGATGAGGAACTGCGAGAGGGAGATCCTCTCGTCTGTCTTTAAGGAATCGTTGCCTTTTTTCCAGTAGAGCATGAGGTCATCTTCTGTGTAGGCATCTGGGAAGATGAGAGCCATGTCAGGCAGGGGCGACAGGTAAGCCAGGCCTGCCTGTGGGACCGTGTGACACTGTGTCCTAAGCCACACAGACTACTTGGCTTGGGGTAAGATAGAAAACTGCAAACTAAACAATACAGACGAATTCCAGTTCATCCCAGTTTCTCAAAAGTTATCAGAGCAAGGCTTCCAAGTCCAAGGGCTCACGGTCCCAACAAAAAGCCTGACCCTAAATCCAGCTGCCATAGCTGCAAATGATAGTGCTGCTTGTAGGGTGGAGACAGTTCAATACTGACAAGATTTCACACGGTCCGCCTATTTTCTCAAAAGTTATCAGAGCAAGGCTTCCAAGTCCAAGGGCTCACAGTCCCAACAAAAAGCCTGACCCTAAATCCAGCTGCCATAGCTGCAAATGATAGTGCTGCCTGTAGGGTGGAGACAGTTCAATACTGACAAGATTTCACACGCTCCGCCTATAGCCTAGCACCCAATCAGCTCTTTCTTCTCTTGCACAGGGTAATGATTCATCACTTGAGGACTAGGTCATGGCTCACGCTCAGGCAGCACAAGTGAAGAAGGGGCTTATCCTCAGGCCAGTTGTGTCTGTTTCCCCAGAATCTGTTGGACAACCTCCCAGGGGCTGCATGTGCCCAGCACACACCCTTTGGGTGAGGCCACTGAGCCCAACTGCACAAGCATGTGTGCTGGACATAACTGAGGCGAAACCTCTTGGAGCTGCAGGTAGCACCTGCCTATGTGTGATCTGCTCTTCAAGTCCCACTAAGCCTTGACTGTGTGACAGGAGACCTCACATGTCAACTGGCTGGGTCTGGTACACATGCATTGAACCCGACACTAACCCGTGAAGGTGTTTTCTAGCATGTCCATCACCAGGCTTTGGGTAAAGGAGATTGTCCCAGGTCACCCGGGAGAGCCTGGCCCCAGGGGTGAAAGACAGGAAGAGCAGAGCAGAGTTCCCGGGAGAACTGTCACCTGCCACAGAGAAGTGTTTAGAAATGCTGGCGCCAGGCTGCACCTACTCACAGCTTTCGATTTCCAGGGAGCAGGTCTGCGTGTCCAGGGGAAACCTGCTGAAGTCCATGTTGCACATTGCCGTCACTGTGACTCTAGAAACAAAAAGACACATGGTTTCAGCCCTTGCTGGGGACAGAGTCAAAACGATGAAGCAGACAGAAAAGGCCCTGCTTCCTGGCTCCAGTTCCTAAGCAACATAATGACATCAAGAAAGATCCTTAGGCGTCACACGCTCTTCAGAGTCCTCTCAAGTATTCGTGTTTAACATTAGGATCTGTACAAGAAAAAACGAAGATCTCTGCTATCACCAGCCCATTCCAAGGATCTGGAGATGTAATGCTGTCAGTCAGTTGAACAATGTAAAAGACACACACACACACACACACACACACAAACACACACACACACATTTTTAATTTATTTAAATGATTGTTGAAAGAAATGAGTATATCCTAAATAGAAGTATCCAGATACTTGATTCACTAATAACTACTCAAAGTTCACTGCTTCTTGATGATATTAGCACGCTTTACCGTTAGCTGCTCTTCTGCGGTTGGTGGTATCCACTGTTCTGTGAGGTAGAACACTGCAGAGCAGTGGAACCAGGCCTGACACTGGTGAGTGGTGACAGCCTGAGACCAGAGAGGCCGTAGGCCCAGGGGAAAACTTGCTATTACTATTATGATAAAGGAACACAGCAATAAAATGACTCCTGCGGACATTCTGCTGTACCCGGAGATCAGGGCCTCACTCAGTCCTCACTGGAGAAGCTTGCAGTGACAGGAGTTGACAGAGTCCCACCAACAATGTACAGACAGAGACAGACCTTGGGTCACTTAGCCCTAAAAGGAATGTGTGGTGATAGGTTCTTTATGATTTAATAAGCTTGCCTGAAGAATCAGCATGCAAAGCTAGCCACAGCCATAGAAGCCGAGTGGTGGTAGCAGGACTCAGGAGACAGAGGCAGATGGATCTCTGTGAGTTCAAGGCCACCCAGGGCTACACCAGAGTGAACCAGTCTAAAAGGGAAACAGAGATCATGATTTAATCCCAGCACTAGAGAGTCTATAAGGAAGAATCAGAGGTCTCATGTGAGATTCCATTTCTAGTCACAAAGAAGACAGGATCTCCTCTCCAGCTTTGGCAGGGGTAAGAGCTTGAACTACCATATCTGTCTCTGGGTTTCTATTATTCATGCTACAGGGATGTCTTTATCAAACACCCTCACCTCCCCACCCCCAGCCCACCCCCTCACGCACGCACTCAAGGCTCCTCAGGTAACTATGCAGAAGACATTATAAGAGGCAGAGTGCTGGGTGACTCCAAGGAAATAGTATTTTCTAGTCATAACAGAGCAGATGCACATGGGAGTTAACAGAGACCATGACCGCCTGCACAAGGCCTGCGCAGATGCAAACCAGACAAAGCCCCAGCACTGAGAGGGAAGAGGGCAGAGTGTCCCACCCTACCTGCGAGGAAACTCACAGCTGACGTCTGCTAGGAACGGGAAAATCAGTTTTCTCCAACGGAGTGCCACTGAGATGTCAGCCACTCGTCAGGGCAGGCCCCTTACCCAGGCACAGGTGGCCAACACAAATGCACTCTAGGTATTTCATGCACTTTTTGTTTCATTTTGGTAGTTTCTGTCTTATTGGATTTTGTTTTGATTTTATGGTTACTGTTTTGTTTTTAGAGAGAAAGAACATGAAGTTGGGTGGGTCGGGAGGTGGGGAGGATCCAAGAGGAGCTGCAGCAGGGAAAGAATATGACCAAAATACATTGTATGGAATGGGTTTTTAAAAAATAAAAGCAAGTAAACAGTGGCTGGAGAGATGGCTCAGCAGTTAAGAGCACTGACTGTTCTTCCACAGGATCCAGGTTCAATTCCTAGCACACACATGGTAGCTGTTCTTGTGCAAAGACCTCCGTAGGGGGCAGAGTGCACTGGCAGGCAGCTCAGCACTCCAAGACATCTGAGTTCCTGAGGAGAGTTTTGAGATCTCTCCCTCCCCCTCCCCCTCCCTCTTCTTCCTCCCCCTCTCCCCTCCCCCTTCTCCCTCTTCCCTCTCCCCCTCCATCCCCCTTCCTTCCTTTCTATTTTTCCTCTTTTGGCAGTACTGTGAGACCCAGGGCCTCATACTTGCTAGACAAGTATGTCACTGAGCTGCACACTCCCAGTCTTAGATTTTATTCTTGGCATTGCAAACGTGACATTCAGAATGTCATTGTCATCAGGTAATCCAGAGTCCCATGGTGTTTCAGGATAGAAACTATGTTGGCCAGACAAGGCAAACAAATCTATTTAAACCTAAGTTCTAAACATGGGACTCAGACAGAGGAAGGCCTGTGTATATATATATTTGATTTCCCAAATATATATAAACTTTTTTTTTAATTAGGCAAACTTTCAGACTGCAAAGTGGTCAACGGCACTGGCTGCTCTTGCAGAGGGCCTGAATTTGACTCCCAGTACCCACAAAGTGGCTACCAACAGTCTGTAACTTCAGGCCTAGGGAATGTGGCTCCCTCTGGCCTTTGCAGGTACCCGTGCAACCAAAACACCCAAATACATAACGCACATTTTAAAACATTTCATTGATTGAACTTTTAAAAATGAAAATATTCAGGTAAGGCCTGAGCTCTCGGTGCCAGGCTGCCTTTGTCCCCACCTGAGGCTGTACAGGACTTTCCCATCTGGCTGTACCCGAAGCATGACGTTGTCTGTGGTGGTGTCGTGGATGAAGGAGCGCTTGGAGTGCACAAAGAACATGTCAGGAACCCAGATCTTCTTCACAAGCCGGCCATCGAAGGTCATGCTGAGATTGTTAGTGCTCGGAAAAGATAGCCTCTCATCTTTCCAATAGTGCCGCAGGTAGAGGGTCATGGTGAAGTCCTATAGGGGGAGGCAGAGCAGAAAGCAGATAGCCCCCCACTTGGGAGCCATCAGTAGTGGGGATGCAACTGAAGCCAGTGGGCTGCCCAGTGCCACTGGAGAAGGCAGAGAGGAACCCAACAAGGGGCCAAGAGCAGACCGCCCTGAACTCGACCCACCCATGACATCCACCATCTCCATGACAGCTGCTCCGCTGACACCAGCCACTCAAGCTGAAAGCGCCAGGATCAGAGAGCCTCAGCTGGGGAAGCCCAGTCCAGCCCCCGGGCCCTGAGCTGGGGGGACCTGGGCTGTGTTCATCACTGCCTCCTGGAGAACGCTGTGGGCTAGTGCTGTCGCAGTGGCTTGCTCGAGGACACCGTGCCAGTGGTTGCTTCCCTGTCTCTCTGTCACCCGTCTTAGCATTTTCTGGCAGTAGTCCCCAAGTACACACTGGGCTAGAATACGTCTTTCTGGCCTGCTCCTCACAGGTTCCAAGCCAAGAAGACTTTTAAAAAGTTCCCTAACTTGTAAATGCTCCCCACCCCCACCCATGCTACCTTTAAATTTTTGAGATCGTGTAGCCCAGGTTGGCAAGGAGCTTCCTATATAGAAGATCCAAGGTAAACCTCCTTCCGCCTCTTGGGTGTTGACCTGAAGACATGCACCCCCATGCCTAGCTGGCAACATTTTTTTATTGGATCACACTGAAAAGCAAAAAGGAATAGTCCCGCTCTTCCAGGTTTCCAGAACAAGACATAGACCCTGCAGAAATACAAGGACCTACGTCTCACAAGGTGCCCATGGTGGAGCATAAAGACCAAGTTTGTCACCTGACTCTATCTCACACCAACTTGGAACTATGGACAAACGACAAGACGTCCGTGAGTTGTCTGTGCAGTGGGTGTGACAGTTCCTGTCTGTCAAGGAGTAATGAGAGAAGTTGGTAGTGCAGAGCTTCTGGCCAGGCAGGTTCACCTAAGCCCCCATTGCCCAGAGTCCCAGTCAGAGAAGCACTCACCATGTCCACCTCTGAGATGCTGTCCAAACTCTCCACTTGTACATCCACACCCACAGGGATGGCCGGGCCTGGGGACGGCATGACAGGGGCTCACTCGTTTGTTCTCTGTGTTCTTTCTTCTTTGCCCCCCCCTCCCTTCCTCCCTCCCTCTCCCTTCCTCCCTCCCTCCTTGTCTTCCTCCCTTTCTTTTTTTATTTCTGATAGAGCTTTGTTATGTAGCCCAGGCTGATCTCAAGCTCTCAATCCTCCTGCCTCAGCATCCAAAGTGCTAGGATTATAGGAGTACGCCATCACACCCAGCTGAGCATTCCTTCTTTTTACTTGAACATCTGCTATGGAAGAGGCACGCAAAGGTGTGCCAGCCATGTCAGAGCCAAGCATTTGAAGGTTTTGTCATGCTCACCTGCAGTCAAATGAGAAGTGAAAGAACATATTCATGGGATATCTCCATGCCCCGCCCTAAGCAATAAGAGTGCTTTGTCCTTTGTGGGATGAGGTTAGGTTATTTATTTTATGTATACAAGTGTTTTGCCTGCAGGAATGCTTAGTGTCCATGGAAGGCAGAAGAGGGCATCGGATCCCCAAGGGCTAGAGTTATAGACCATTATGAGCTTCCCTGTGTGATGGGAGATGTCATTCTGTAACTCTGTCTCTCTTATTGGTTGTTGATAAAGCACTGTTGGCTAATAGGGAAGCAAGACAGGTGGGACTAGGAATCGAGGAGGATTCTGGGAAAGAGAGACACAGCCAGACACCATGTAGGCCACCAGAGGAGTAAGAGGTCCAGACCCTTTTCTCTGGTAAGAGAAATATTTACATTAACAAATATGGGTTAAATACTTAATTCAGAGCTAGGTAGTAAGAAACCAAGCAAATGGCCAACAGCTTTATAATTAATATAGTGTCTTGTGTGTTATTTGAGGGTTCAGACAGCGCAGCAGGGCCCAGGCGACTGGTGGGGAAAATACACTCTACCTATGGTGTCAGAAATAGGATATGAATTTCCTCATAGAATGACAAAAGCTTAAAAGGGATTTTAGAAACAAAAGAGCAGAGAGAAGCAAGGCTTCTTGGTAGCAGCATTTTTCTCAGGTGGGCTCTGTTTTGCTAGAGACAAGCAGAGACTCACATGGCTCACTTAAGGGAGTCTTCCTGATTCAGCATAAGCAAACAAAAAAACCAAAAAACAAAAAACAAATGAAAACTCAGCAAGGTTCTTTTAAGAGCCTCTGTTAACAACTGAATGGTGTATACAAGCATCTGACAGTGGCAGTGACCATATCTCCAAGCCGGCACCATGCTGCTGGATGTCAGCATAGACTGAGGTAGTGAGCTGGAGTCAAGCTTATGCCTGCCATGTTGGAAAGCCAGCAACTGTTTCTTTAGCCTATATAAGACATGTGGCCAGAAAAAACAAAGTTTTACAGTAAAATCAGATTCAGATGAAGAAAAATATAGGTAGACTTAGGAGAGTAAAATAGGAAACAAGATATTGGAACAAATAAAAAGAAAGTAGCTGCCTTTAATCCCAGCACTTCAGAGGCAGAGGCAGAGGCAAAGGCAGAGGCAAAGGCAGGTAGATTTCCAAAGAGATACCCTGTCTCAGAGAAAAATAAATAAAAGTAAAAGAAATAGAGTAATATAAATTTTCCACATAAAGATGGAAAATACACAGAAAGTCTGGATACTATTGTGTTTTTCAGTTGTCCAGTGGCTAAGGAAGGAACAACTGCTGAAATATATTTGATTATAAATACTGCTGAATTAATCCAACTTTGACTTCTAACTTTAATTATAAGGACCGATTACTTGGGGAAAGACTTTTTGTTGATGTTTCCACAGAAAATGGAAAGCTGTAGATTCCTTCCAGGCTTCTGTGGTTTGATGAACCAAGGCCCCCGGAAACAGTGGCCCAGGTGTTCCAGCATCTAAAACAGCTGAGATGATACAGCCTTAAGGACTACAAAAAAGGACTTAGCCAGGTTTCTGAGTTTTGTCATGATTCCCATGGTATGGACAGTGCCCCCATCAGCAGGAAGCAGTTTGGAATGAGAAACGTCCAAATTCCCAAATATTGTTTATAAATCTTTGTTTTCATTTGATTGGGGTTGCTTATAATTGGTTAATGACCACAACCAATCTCTTTTTAAAGGTAAAAGGGGATTATGGTATGGAAATGAATACTTTTATTAGTATGGTTTTTCATTTATTGATACAAATTCAAGGTCAATTTTGTGATATGTGTATTTCTCCTCTTGATTAAGTATTATGTTTATACTGCTCTTTTAAAATGTAATACATAATTTAATACAGATTATAGATAGTTACTTATAATAGTCAGAATTTAGAGTTAGGTTAGTTAGGTTTTCTAGATATAAACCTAACTAGATTGTCTTCAAACTTTTCAAAGACCTTCAGAAAATGGCATTTAAAATGGTTTAGGGTTTTTCTTGACAATGAGAAATGTCTGCTTCTGGCAGCACCAATTATGTCTGAGAGGAAGATGGGCATCGAAGAAACTCATTATGGAGTTTGCTTTCAACATGGCAAGATTAGCCATTTGGGCAAGAAACTGCTCTTGCCTAGACTGTTTGACTATTGCTGTATAATCTGGACATGCAGGACCAACAGAAAAGTCATTACTGAATTTGGACAGTCTTAAAGGATTCCTACTTCACATGCAGGACACAGAAAAATGACTGACAGACTGTCAATGCAGATGGACAGTTTGAAATTTCCTGCTTTGCTGAGAAGTCTTCCAGATACACTGTGGCCTCTGGGCTGAAGTTAGATGCCCAACATTACAGCGGAACTTCAGGTGACTGTCCAGGCAGTAAGATGTCTACTGTCAATCCTAGTGTTTATATATTATCCTTCTGTGGACTTTGATGGAGTTGAAGACAGATAGTTATAATTATAGTTTTCCTTAGTTATGATAAAAGATTAGCTACATATAAGACTTTAGACTCACACAGATAGGAGAGATTATAAAATATTTTCTTTAAATCTTACTAAATGTTAATAGACAAAATATTATAACTATAGTTCTTACTTGATAACTGTTGATGTTATATATAATTTGACTATGTTAAAGTTAAAACCTTGAGTCGAATTCCCAAAACCCACATGAGGGAAAGAGTCAACTTCCACAAGTGGTCTTTGATCTCCACATATTTTGTGATTTGCACACCACACCATCCCAAAATACCTACATAAATGTTAAAGAGAGAGAGACAGACAGACAGACACACACACACACACACACACACACACACACACACACACACACGGAGAGACAGGCAGACAGACACACAGAGAGAGACAGACAGACAGACACACAGAGGAGGGAGGGAGGGAGGGAAGGAGAGAGAGAGACAGACAGACACACACACAGAGGGAGGGAGGGAGGGAGGGGAGACAGACAGACAGACAGACACTCACACAGAGGAGGGAGGGAGGAGGGAGAGAGAGAGAGAGAGAGAGAGAGAGAGAGAGAGAGAGAGAGAGAGAGAGAGAGAGAGAGAGAGAGAGAGAGAGAGACCCCTTTGACAGAGGGCTGAAATCTGGCAGCTGTTAAGCCTCCACCTCCGTTCCCCCTCTGCAGTGACCCTGGCTTTCTCAAGCTATTTTCATTTCATTAAACCCAGCAGACAGGACTCTGATGTGTAAGTGGAGCTCATCTGCCACCGCCCCCCCCGCATGGTTGTTGCATGGGATTTCAGCGCATCCTCAGGACGCAGCCCTGGTCGCATCTGTCTTCCTGTGGCAGCTCCGTCTCACTGACCTTCAGTGAGCTTCTCTCGAGCTCTGCTTTGGGACAGCTGGCTGCCCTTGCCTGGCTACACGACAGCAGGTTCTCCGGCAATGCCCGGCAGAGCCAGGGGCGTGAAGGCCAGATGCTCAGAAGGTGCTCAGCCCAGGCAGATACGATAAACGGATGTGGGTGCAGACGAAGAACCCAGGAAAGAAGACGAGCCCCCGCCCCACCCTGAGCGCACATCTCATACCTCCGAAGCCAGGCCTCATGCTGAAATCATGGTCATCTATCCTGAGCAGCTGCTCTGACTTGGTGAGAGGCGACTTGGTTATGTCGGAGCTTCGTTTCAGAATTGGGCTGCCACAGAAGGAAAGCAGGTTGGTCAAACACGCTAACCAAGCCTGGTCAGAGCCACAGCCATCTGCGTTCTTCCTGCTCTTGGCAGGTTTCCTAGGGCGTGCTTTCTCTTCTAAGAACCACTCAACTGCACCTCTTCCTTTTCCAACTTCTGGAAAAGGAAACTGACCTGGAAGTTCCAAGATTGCAGCCCCCCAGCCACATGGAGGGGCTTCTCCAGCAACAATGCCTCCCTGCCGCTGACATCCTGATCAGCATCTGGGAGCTGGTAGTTTGTTTTTAATTTAAGGGGCTGGAAACTGGTACTTTTAAAAGTTATCCAAGGCTGGATAACTACACCCGTAGCTCGGTGGTAGAATGTTTGCCAGCATAGGCACAGCACTGGGTTCCATCACTAGAACTGGAGGGAAAAGGAACCCAGTGATTTCATATATAACCAAAGTTGGCACCTGCCAAAGCTGGTCTAAATGCTAAGCCAAACTCCTTCAAAAGGCCTAAGACACCAAGAGAAGGCCGACTAAGAAGAAGCAAATGCGTATGACTGAGCCTCACTGCTTTGAGTTTCTGTGGTCATTCTGTGGCCAGTGAACCTGCAGCACACCGTGTTTCCAGAGAAAGCGCTTCTGGATTGTTTGTAGGAACACTTACCTATTTGTTTTCAGTGTTTGACACTCTCTCTCTCTGTCTGTCTGTCTCTCAGTCTCTCTCTCAGTCTCTCTCTCTCTCTCTCTCTCTCTCTGTCTGTGTCTGTCTCTCTGTGTCTTTCTGTCTTTCTCTGTCTCTCTATCTCTTTATGTCTCTCTGTGTCTCTGTCTCTGTGTCTCTCTGTCTCTCAGTCTCTCTCTCAGTCTCTCTCTCTGTCTCTCTGTCTCTCTGTCTCTCTCTCTGTCTCTCTCTCTGTCTCTCTCTCTGTCTGTCTCTCTCTGTCTCTGTCTCTGTCTCTGTCTCTCTCTCTCTCTCTCTCTCTCTCTGTCTCTGTCTCTCTCTCTCTCTCTTTCTCTCTGGTAGGGGCTGGAGAAATGGCTCAGCAGAAAAGAGCACTGGCTGCTCTTCCAAAGGACCCAGATTCTATCCTCAGCACCTACATGACGGCTCACAAAACTCCAGTCCAGGGATGTGACGCCCTCTTCTGGCCTCCACAGGCACTGCATGTACATGGTGCACAGACATACATTCAGACAAAGCACCCAAACACATAAAATATTTTTAAAACATTAAACATGCAGCTAATTCTACTGAGCTACCCCTCACCCAGAGAAACTTGTTGTATTGCTTCCTTGACTAGACAGTCTGTTACAGAAACATGGACGTACTGATATATAGTATTACCTTCTCTCCTTATACAGTTAATGTTATAGGAATGCTTCTTTATCTTGCTTCTCCCTCATTTAGTAATACGCCTTGGATTTTCCCACATGGGAATTCACATGCCCCTTACTCTACTGCATATGCCTCATCTAACCAATCCTTCCACGGTGGACATACGAGTTGCTCCGTGTCCTCTACCCCTACAGTATGTGACACTTGGAATTCCTCATTACCCAATAGTGTAATCCTAGGGACCCTCATAAGCAGCTAACCCCCTTTGCAGCTGATGCTGATGACAGGCTGTGTCCCCTCCGAGTGGCCTCCCCATGTGTCCTTCCCTCAGTACAGATAGATGCTCAATGATAGGTGCTCGTTAGACCTAGATTCCTGATGCACTTGCGTGCCTGATGCAGGGGTCTGGGCCGAGGTTGCTGAAAGACAGGAAGGGACATCTGAGAACCCTGCTCATGCACCGTCCTCCCCGTGGCTGTCAGTGTGTCAGCCTCCTGGCTGCTGCCTCCCAGGGCCTTGCTCTACCCAGCTGCCAGCCCTCACTGTCTTCTTCCCTGAAGGAACTCTAGTGTTCAGGAGAAAGCACGAGGCAGGGGTCAGGATGCTAGGGCTCTTTCCTCCCTTCAGAGCCTGGCTGATTTAGATCGTTAGGTGACCAGCTTATTCCCTGAAAGCCATTTTGCCGATGGGAGGCAGGCTTTGAGTGGACCGTGGGGTGTGCAGGTTGAATGGGACATGTGGGGACTAGCGCATTGCTGAGCAGAGGAAGGAGCTGGGCGTGGACAGGAAAGCCAGCTCTTCCTGGTCCTGTCGGGGAGGGCTGAAAATCGCTGTGGTTGTGTCCTCGCTGTTACCATGGGCCATACCTGCCTTGCTTGTGGGCATCATCATGTGCTCCTCGTCTCTGTCTCTGAGGTCTGCTGTGGAAACAAAAATAAAGATGATTAAGAGGCTGCCCAGTGACTCACATTGTCAAAGCACCCTGGCCTCTGTGCACACTTCAAATCTAACCAGAATCAAATGGGGGTGGGTGGGGAGGGAAGAAGGCTCAGCGCATTAATCTGGTCTGATGAGCATTTTCCAAGTGCTCACAGCAACGGGGGACGAGGATTAATTATTTAGAAGGCCTGATTTACAGAGATCTGACTTAACCACACCCCCGCTGTGGGCATGTGCATATACACATTCACATACACATTCACGCATGCTCACACAGTAACATACACACTCATATACACATATATACACGCATACACACATGCACACTCACACACATTCACATTCATACACACACTCATGCACACTCACACACATTCATGCACACTCTCATACGCACACGCACTCACACAGACACATGCATAGACATACACATATGTGTGCATGTACACACACTCATACATGCACTCATGTGTACCCAGGCTTGAAAGTGAGCCTGAAGAGTTAGTTGCACATTTTAGCTTGGATCCACTGTGAAACTGTGGCAAACAACGCTGTCAGTGAATTGTGCCCTCCTGGGTATACTTGCCTCTGGCTGGGGATTTGGCGGAGTGGGCACAGCAGGAAGTGGAGGAGAAAGCCAGGCTGGAGCATCTATCGCTCATCCGTTCCTTCTTCAGAGCTGGTAACCTGCTATGCCCCGCGCCTCTGCCCAGGGCAGGCATGGCGTCCTGCTGTTCCTCATTCTAGGGGACATCAACATGCCTGCTTTCATGCCTTGAAACCTGCCCACATCTCTGTGAGGAGTGCTTGTTTTTGATTGGTTAAGCCCTCTGAAAGTAATGCTATTTCCCGAGAGGACTCCACTGGTGACAGGGACAGGGATTATGTCGTCCACAGCACAGTGAAGCAGGCCAGGCGTGAGCTTGGCAGGAGAGGGCTGGGAATTGGGAAAGGCGGGTGGGGAAGGGATCACCGAGGACAGAGTCCCGGGCATGTTCAGCACAGGGCAGGGCTGGCCGCAGGGGACTCTCGGCACAGGGTGGCTGAATGAGAAAGGACTAAGACTCCTCACATGAGAAAGAACACACGAGAGAGACAAAGGCCACTGAGCAAGGAGGTTGGAACAGAAAACGAGCTGTCCTGTTTGGACTTTACCCTCGGGCCAGCCTGCAATACAACCACTCACCAACCAACACAACTGTCAAACTCTGAGGTACCCGGCAGTCGCCTTTGCAAAGCTTAGACTCTAGCCTAGAGGCCACAGAGAAAGGTCCCTGATGTCTTTCCCATTGTCCTTAATACTTTAAAGCAAAACTCCTTGTTAATATACCATATACAAGCCGGGAAGTAGAGCTACCATAAAGCAGATAATAACTCGGGAAATGACTCTGGTGTTTCGGTGCACATTCTTAACAGAGCCCAGGGGAGGCAAGCAGATGGATGCTTGCTTAGGTTACGATATAACTAGCATGGAACATTTCCAGCACCTTTTTACCAGCTACTGACGTGGTGGCTGATAAAACTGAGCATAACATAAAACACAGCTTGAGTAATCACCATTGGCTGGGTACCGTTCATATCTTATCAATATTTCATGATTAATTTGTCAGTTCTCACAGAGCTTTATCGGCAGACCTCCCATTAGCTCCAATTCACATGTGAGAAAACCAAGACAAATTCTGGGAACTCAAGCAGCTTTTAAAGCTACAGAGCTAGGCACTGGGCTGGTGATGTGGATTCAGGGCTTGGAAGAAGTGTTGGCCACATTATCTTGCTGGATGCTCTCCCTCTTTCTGCTAGACTTTGGGTTGGTCCCCACACTTATTTATTTACTGTTTGAGCCAAGGTCTCTCACTGAACCTCACGTATTTGGCTATCATGTCCAGCTTTTATGTGGGGGTTGGAACTCTATAACTGAACCATGTCCTAGGCTCTGGAGTTAGGAGTGGAAGATGTGTGTCACTTCTCTCATGAGGAAGTTAGCAGGGGCCTTGTGAAAACTTGGAGTTCACCAAGTGTTGACTGAATGAACCCCCAGAGGATATGAAGAAAGCATAGACATCCCCAAGATGATGCCGGGCTGACAGTTGAGGTGTATTTGGACTGAACCCGACACGGCACTTTTTGAATACTTGTCTTCATTTTGATGGAGTGAGAATTTCTAGCCAGTGGGATGCCTGGGTCTGAGTGGTGGTGTTCTTTAGCAGTTGGTGTGGAGGGTGTTTTCCCTCAACACTTCTCTGATGTCCCCAGCGGGGCCTAATGACAGAAGGCTGCTAGAGCGTCCAGTCAGTCAACAGCAGAGCACTTGTACAATTTGGTTCACTTTGCTGACCACATTGCTTCAGAGAGGAGGGAGAGCTTCGTTTTGACAAGGAAACAAGGACTGGCCAATGAAAGCAATTTAGCCAAGGAAAGAAATCTTTCACGTAACCCAGAACCTCCAATACTACCTGCGAGTGTTCCTTTTCTCCCCGCCCTCACCTGTATGTCTAACCCTCACTCCCTTGTTAGAAGTGTATTTACTCAGAAGGGAGACTTTCCTCGTGTGCACAAGGCCCAGAACAGGACAACCAGGGTCTCAGCGCCCAGCCAGATCTAGCTGAAGCACCTTAAAATCCCGCTCCCCGTTGTGTGCTCTCCATCCCCACCGCCTTGAGAACTGATTCGCGTGGTTCTTGGCAGGGGCAGCGCGCTGCCCCTCCTGTGCCTCGCCTTCTGCTCTAGCCATCACATCAGCACTGTGGACTGAAAAGCAGACACTCAGTTTCCCAGTGAAAACCTTCTACCTGCAGTACCAAATCGTAGCCAGACTTCCTCGTCAGTGCTGGACTGAAAAGCAGACACTCAGTTTCCCAGTGAAAACCTTCCACCTGCAGTACCAAATCATAGCCAGACTTCCTCGTCAGTGCTGGACTGAAAAGCAGACACTCAGTTTCCCAGTGAAAACCTTCCACCTGCAGTACCAAATCGTAGCCAGACTTCCTTGTCAGTGCTGGACTGAAAAGCAGACACTCAGTTTCCCAGTGAAAACCTTCCACCTGCAGTACCAAATCGTAGCCAGACTTCCTCGTCAGTGCTGGACTGAAAAGCAGACACTCAGTTTCCCAGTGAAAACCTTCCACCTGCAGTACCAAATCGTAGCCAGACTTCCTCGTCAGTGCTGGACTGAAAAGCAGACACTCAGTTTCCCAGTGAAAACCTTCCACCTGCAGCATCAAATCGTAGCCAGACTTCCTCGTCAGTGCTGGACTGAAAAGCAGACACTCAGTTTCCCAGTGAAAACCTTCCACCTGCAGTACCAAATCGTAGCCAGACTTCCTCGTCAGTGCTGGACTGAAAAGCAGACACTATTTCCCAGTGAAAACCTTCCACCTGCAGCATCAAATCGTAGCCAGACTTCCTCGTCAGTGCTGGACTGAAAAGCAGACACTCAGTTTCCCAGTGAAAACCTTTCACCTGCAGTACCAAATCGTAGTCAGAGCCATTGGCTCCCCAATAATGACACAGAGACTTATTATTACTTATTACTAATTATGAAAGCTTGACTGGTGGCTCAGGCTTGTTTCTAACTAGCTCTTAGAACTTAAATTTCCACATTTCCTTTACTCTACGTTCTTTTACGTGGATTGGTCACCTTTACCTTGTGAAGCCCATGCTGCTTGCTCTGCATTCTGGTGTCTCAGCTATTGGCCATTTGGTTTTTTATTAAACAAATCAGAGTGATACATCTTCAGAGTGTACAAAAAGATTATTCCACAATCTCAAATCCATAGAAGTTGGGCAATAGGTTCATAGCAACCTCCTGCCCATTGCCTGCTCACTGAATTTCACAATAGTCGAAGTACATGTGCATTGGCCCATACAATCCTGCCAACAAGCAGGAAGTGACTGTCCTGGCTGGTGTTTTGTAAACTTGACACAAACCTAGAGTCATCTGAGAAGAGGAACCTCAGATGAGAAATGACTCTGTCAGACTACCTGAAGGAGGTCTGTAGGGCATTTTCTTGGTTAATGATTGATACGGGAGGGTCCCTCCTCCCCCCTCAATGTGGGTGATGTCACCCTTGGGAAGGCTGTATAAGGGAGCAAGTTGAGAGACTGAAGGGTTTCTCAGCAGTTAAGAGTTCTTCTTACTCTTCTAGAGGACCCAGGCTCAATTCCCAGCACCTACATGGTAGCTCACAAGCATTCGTATCCTCCGACCTCAGCAAGCCTCAGGCACACATGTGATACTCATACAAGCATGCAGACAAAACACTCATACATATGAAATAATAAAACAAACTTTACAGCTTTAAAAAACAAAATCTGAGCCAGCTACGAGGAACAGACCAGCAAGCAATGCCCTTCATGGTATCTGCTCCAGTTCCTGCCTTGAGTTCCCGCCAGGATCTCCCTTCATAATGGTCTGTGAGATGAAAGGAGCATTTCTCCAAGTTTCTTTTGGCCATGGTCTTTATCACAGTAAGAGAAATCAAAGCAAGACAGTGACAGATGACCCATTCGGCTGTACAGAAGAAACAGACTGGAAGCTGCCAAATGACTCTTCCAAGGTCTTTGGTAAGTTCGTAACTGTGCCAAGTCTCAAATCCAGCCCTTCTTATGGTTTGGAGATGCTCCATCCATTTGGAGGTCAAGATGGATTCCTATTGCCTAGGACAGTCACACCTGCATCATGCTATACAGGGGCTCGCCAAGGACAGCCAAGGTTCTATCATGCCTTGCAGTCATGTGGACTCTGGCTAAGAGTCTTCTGGAGGAGGGAGCCGCTGCTGGGACAGTTGTTTTATGCATGTGGCTAGAGAAGCTTCTGTGAGAAGGTGACAGTTACAGAGGCATAGCGTGGATGAGAGGACCTGTGGTGCTCAGGCAGAGGCACAGAGTGGATGAAGGCCACAAGGTGGGGGGACTCACTATTCTCACTCCTTCCAGGAAATGCACTCAAGACCAATGCTCAATAGCTACCCTGGTAGCCAGA